AAATGTATCAGTTTAGTTGTAAATTCTATATAATTAACTGTTTATGTCTTAAAAGCACCATAAGCAGATATGTATCCCCTTTTTGATTTACCTTGCATTTCAAACTTACCTGCCTTGTTTAAATTCTCACCTAAAAAAACTCTAAACTCCCCCTTCTCTTCTTTATGCACCTTGTTTCCAGCTTTTTAATCTAGTCACTTGGAATACACTCCCTTATCACATTTAATCAGCTATCTCAAACTTCTAAAAATCTAACAATTCACAAGTACCTTTATTGACTTCATTAGTTCATCTTATCTATTTTATCCTCATATCCAGTCTGCCTCTCAATTAATCTAGGAGGAGACCAATTATAGCCGGAATGAGAGATCAATGTAGTGAAAAGTTTTACAATTTATTCAGACATCAAAATATATATACACAACAAAATATCTTTGGAGAAAAGGTTTTTAACATAAAGTCCCATTCATACCCTTGACTATTTTTAGATTTGATTGTTAGCTGGTTTTTAGATATAAATGTAACCACAGATTGCACTGATTCTGAGGCAACTTTGCCGGCACAGTTGTGTAAATGTGCAGATTGGCAATAAAGTTATGTTGCGTTCCACGGTGGTCATACGCGCATGCGCGGTACCGACATCCGGACGTCATGCTGTATGACGTTGCATTCGTAGTGGTCCGCACATGCGTGATCATCAATTAGAACGCGAAGACCGGCAAGTTTAAAAGCAGGAAGATGTGGACAGAAGACACAATCTCCTGAGGAAGTCGGATGACCGACGAAATGCGTTGAGCACAGTGACCGACGACCCTGTACTTTTGGTATCAGCAGTTTGATTTTTATATGCATTTGGCACTTTGAGTTTTTCTTGCACTTTGACTCTGCATTTGGGAATCATTTGCTAGTGACTCCTATGATTATCCCTCAGTAATTGACTCATTCCCATCCCCATTTGGGTGATTCGCAGCTATTATCCCAAGTGGATGTTGTGAAGGGATAGTGTATGCTAGTGACTATTCATAGCCATTTATCTTTACTTCCCTTTACTTATTGTTTTTTGCAGTGTGCACTTTATATTGTATTTTTTCAGCTGCTGACCAAAGGGTTTTGAGCCCATTGAGGCTATTTTTATTGGATGGTATTTTGTTGTGTATATATATTTTGATGTCTGAATAAATTGTAAAACTTTTCACTACATTGATCTCTCATTTCGGCTATAATTGTTCTCCTAGATTCATTTGAGACAAGCTGGTAAAGACAAGTGATCGTGGAGCCCTGTGATCTGTTATTTTTTTTGTTGTCATTTAAAGTTGGGAGTGACTTTACGACAGAGGCTTGCATGCACGTTATTTTTTTCTCTGTTACCCATTCACCTGGTCCTTGTTTGCCTCTCAATTAAACCTTGCATTGTTCTACTCTCCATCCCCAATATTAATCTAGTCGGATTCCATCTGAATCTATGGTTAATTGGTATTTTTTTAGACTTGTGCATTTGGTTACAAATGAGTTGTGATTCGCCCACATTTTGGGTGATCGGCAATCTATCAGAATTCTGTAACTCCAAAACTCTATTTGTAGAGTAGAACTCGAAACTGGAAAAACTAAATTTCAACAAATCAATTTGGATGAAATGATGTCGCCGTGCAGAAGTCTAATATTTTTAAGGAAAAGAACGCCACAAATTAGAAACAAAAAAATAACTACATAAAGAAATTAAATACCTTGCTTCCCGAAACCCCTGGTTCACCTAAAAATATTGTACCTTGTAATCTGTTCCACTGACGCAATACTTAATAATTCTCATATCAACTGTTTCCTTTAAACTGTAACAGTTTAACAAAGGAAGTAACTGTGAGAATCACTGGAGAGTAGAATTCAATGCTTACAAGAAAAACTGCTCTTAAAATTGAGCTGGGAGGACATCTGCATAAGTAAGTCTTCCAATATTTGTGTTTAGTTTGAAATGTATTGTTTTTCTTACCGTGCCAATTGGAGCCAGATTCCAATATGCTGACAGCAACAGTAAAGTGGCGTTTTAACAATAATTGGTTGGATAATTCCATCACAAAGACAATAGCTTCTTAGAGGAGTTTAGACATAAATTGAAAACATTCTATTTTTGTTACAAAGATGTAAAAGGTCTCAATAACCACAAAAAAAATATAAAAATGTGCAATTATTTTTTCCAAAATATACTCTGTACAAATGTTAAATAACTTGTAGGTAGGATTCAAATACATCTATAGGTTTATTTGGAAAAAAAAAATTCTGATATTAAAGCTATGGAATTAAAAGAATACAATTACCCTATTTTTCCATGTAGAAGACTATGTTTTTTTCTAAATTGTTTTAGTCTAAAATTGGGGGTTGTCTTATACATGGAATGTCACTGCAGAGGTTAAAAAAACAAACACTTATGTGCGGGGCCTATGCTAAGATGGCGCCTGCCACATTTCAGTGTACCATTGCCCACACACATACCTGGCCTCCTTCCCGTGAATCTTCTTCTGAATGCTGTGGCAAGGAGGAAGAGGTCCCTGTATGCATGGGAGCTGCAGCAGACGTCAGCACTTACCACCAACAGAGCTCCAGAGACATGCCACACCATGAAAGGAGAAGACATATTAAGGCAGGCTCCACCCCAGGTTGGTCTTGATTTCTGATTTATATTTCTGGGGGAGGAAATGGCGATCAGGGAGCAGAGGGAATACTACAGTGATGTCCCAGTATGCCCTCACACCACCCAGAATACACTATAGAGCCATTAACTTCACAGAGTACCGTAGCACAGGGGAGGCATGAGAATCAAAAGTTATTCTATTTGATGTTTAAAATATTGATTTCTTAACTTTGGGCTCAAAAAATAGGTCGTTTTATACATGGGGGCGTCCTATACACAGAAAAATATGGTATTTCAATCCTTGTGAGTTTAATTGTCATTTTGACTAACAAATCCACATCAAACAAAATGTAGCTGATAATTTAGCTGCTTGGGTTTTCTTTGCATGTTTAAGTATCACAGTATATTCTTTGTATTGTTAAAAACAAAAATACAAATGTAAAACAAATCATATCAATGCTATTAACCCCTTAAGGACGGAGCCAAATGTACACGTTGTGAACGAAACAAAATGTAAACAAAACCTGGCATTTGCGCTACATGTCTGTCCAACCGTAATACACCTCTTTCATATTAAATGCACCCACCCTTATTATATATCATTTTATTCAGGGGAAACGGCTTTCATTTAATATCAAATATTTAGCTATGAAACATAATTTAATATGAAACAAATGGGAGAAAATAAGATTTGTTTAGATTTTTTTAGTTCTACATGACATTTTAACTGTCAACATAGGCGTGCGCACGGGGTGTGCCGGGTGTGCCTGGGCACACCCTAATCCCCGTGGCACGCCTATGGTTTGAGTCCTGCAGGAACAGAGTTCCTGCACTTTTTTTTGAGCAGGAACGCTGTTCCTGCAGGCACTCAGCGCCCCACTCACCTCTTGCCCCTGTCATGGGGGGGCAAGAGGTGATGGATTACCCCCTCCCCCCCCGCTCTCCAGCTCAGCCGCGGCGAGGGAGCTCTCTGCTGTCTGCTCTCTGCTCCCTCTCGCGGCGCGCTGATGCCGGGAGCCGGAATATGACGTCATATTCCGGCTCCCAGCTACAGCGGACAGCCCGCGCGGCGAGAGGGAGCAGAGAGCAGACAGCAGAGAGCTCCCTCGCCGCGGCTCAGCTGGAGAGAGGCGCCCGCCCCACTGGACCCCAGGGAAAAGTCCACGCCAGCACTCCAGGTAGGAGGCTGGGTGGACATTGTTTTTTATTAAAATATAATAATTTGTTCTTGTGTGTGTGTGTGTGTGTCTGTGAGTGTGTGTCTGTGTGTTTGTGTGTCTGTGAGTGTGTGTTTGTGTGTCTGTGAGTGTGTGTCTGTGTGTGAGTGTGTCTGTATGTGAGTATGTCTGTGTGTGAGTGTGTGTGTCTGTGTGTTTGTGTGTGAGTGTGTGTGTCTGTGAATGTGTGTTTGTGTGTCTGTGAGTGTGTGTGAGTGTGTCTGTGTGTGAGTGTGTGTGTCTGTGACTTTGTGTCTGTGTGTTTGTGTGTGAGTGTGTGTGTGTGTGTGTGTGTGTGTCTGTGAATGTGTGTCTGTGAATGTGTGTGTGTGTGTGAGTGTGTCTGTGTGTGTGTGTCTCTGTGTGTCTGAGTGTGTGTGTCTGTGAATGTGTGTCTGTGAGTGTGTGTGTGTCTGTCTGTGTGTGTGTGAGTGTGTGAATGTGTGTGTGTGTGTCTGTGAGTGTATGTGTGTGTGTGTCTGTGAGTGTGTGTATGTACGCATATATATATAAATATATATATACACACACACACACAGAGCCGGCGCTATCTGAGTGCCGGCTCTGCTCTAATCCTCCATGGGCCAGCAGGGAGACCAAAGATCTACCTCACCAGCCCACAGCAGCATGGAGGGAGGCAGGAGAGGACCCAGGGAGCTCTAGACAGAAGCTCCGCCAGGTTCCTCTTGCGATATCTGAGCGTTGCTGCGGCAACGCTCAGATCTCGCGAGAGTTAACTCTAGCCCCGCAGGCTAGAGTTCACTCTCCACTGGACCACCAGGGATGGCACATGGCAGCAAGTATTTACTAATCTGCCAAATCCCTCCAAACATACAGCACACACACATACAGCACCTACACACATACAGCTCACACACACACAGTACACTAACTGCACCCTCACAAACACACACAGCAACTTTAAAAAAAACACAACACCCTCACACACAGCACACTAACAGCACCCTCACAAACACACACACAAACAGCACCCTCACAAATACACGACACTCACACAAACAGCACCCTCACAGGACAAAAATACACACACAAACACCCTCACACACAAACAGCACAGTCACAAACACACACACACACACAAAAATATCTTCACATGACACTAACAGTACCCTCACACACACATCACACTAACAGCACACACAGCAGTGTATGTGTTTGTGTGTGTGTGTGTATGTATCTATATAAATACACATATATATATATATATATATATATATATACATACATACACACACACACACACACACACAGCGGGTGTTTGTGCTTTAGGGTGCACACCCTAATGCAATAGGCTGCGCACGCCTATGACTGTCAATGTCATAATACTGTTTGCTTTTACTGCAATAAAATACACATATTTGTATTCAGCAAAGTCTCACGTGTAAAACAGTACCCCCAATGTACAGGTTTTATGGCGTTTTGGGAAGTTACAGGGTCAAATATAGCACGTTACAATTGAAATTGAAATTCGCCAGATTGGTTACGTTGCCTTTGGGACTTTATAGTAGCCCAGGAATGGAATTTACACCCATAATGGCATACCATTTGCAATAGTAGACAACCCAAGGTATTGCAAATGGGGTATGTCCAGTCTTTTTTAGTAGCCATTTGGTCACAAACTCTGGCCAAAGTTAGCTTTAGTATTTGTTTGTGTGTGAAAATGCAAAAAAACGCCAATTTTGGCCAGTGTTTGTGACTAAGTGGCTACTAAAAAAGACTGGACATACCCCATTTGCAATACCTTGGGTTGTCTACTATTGCAAATGGTATGCCATCATAGGGGTAATTTTCGTTCTTGGTCTACCATAGGGTCTCAAAGGCAACGTACCCAATCTGGCAAATTTTAATGTGAAAAAAATGAAACACAAGCCTTATATTTGACGCTGTAACTTTTGAAAACACCATAAAACCTGTACATGAGGGGTACAGTTGTACTCGGGAGACTTCGCTGAACACAAATATTTGTGTTTTCAAAACAGTAAAAAGTATCACAGCAATAATATCGTCCGTGTAAGTGCTGTTTGTGCATGAAAAATGCAAAAAACTGCACTTTTACTGGCGATATCATCGTTGTAATACATTTTAATGTTTTGAAACACTAATATTTGTGTTCAGCGAAGTCTCCCGAGTAGAACAGTACCCCCCATGTACAGGTTTTATGGTGTCTTGGAAAGTTATAGGGTTAAATATAGTGCTAGCAAATTAAATTCCCTTTACTTTCGGCATGGTTTGTCAGGCAGGTCCCGCTAATTGTAATTAATTAAGATACCCAATTATGTAAAAATATTACATAAATATATATGTAGAATTAATATATGTGTGTATATATATATATATATATATATATATATATACGTATGTGAATATATATGAATATATATGTATATATATATATATATAATTTTTTTAAATATTTTTATTTATATATAGGTATATATATATATATCTAGTGATATATACGTATATGTTTATGTATATAGATATATATATTATTTCGTTCTAGGTGTATTTTGATATAAATATATATATATTATCACAATACAGTTAGAACGAAATAACACATCTATATATTTTTTTATTTTTTTTATTATTTTTTTATTGAATTTTTTATGTATTTACATGTTTTTTTTTTATATTATATATAAATATATATATAACAATAATTATATATATATATATTTAATCAGTATCAGTCTACGTGTAATTTGATATTAATATATATACATAATTATATATATATTAATAGTAAAATACAACTATACAGTGTATGTGTGTGTATGTATATGTATATATATATATATACTAGTATATATATATATACTAAGTATATATTATTATTTTTTTACACTTTTAACATTTATTTATTTTATTTTCAGCCAGCAGGGGACCACCTGTCATTACAGGCAGTCCCCCTGCTGGCAATGCAGGAGGCAGCTATGTAAGGAAGGACCTCACTCTCACATGGCCGGGGGGGACCGGAGGAGGAAGATCTGCCGCGGGGGGGCTCCCTGGGAGTCCCCCCAACCAGGGCCGTCTTTAACGCGGGGCAAACGGGGCAGCTGCCCCGGGCCCAGTTGCTCCTGGGGGCCCAAAGCAGCTGCTCTGTGGGCCCTGCGATTTGCGCAGCCCCTATGGACCGGGAGGCTCCCCGGGTGGCCCATGCACTAAGGGCCACCCGGGGAGCATGTGTCAGCAGGGGCCCGGTCGGGCGCTGTGGCGCTTAAACAGCGCGACCGGGCCCCTCTTCCGGTTCTCCAACCGGCTGGGAGGAAGTGACGTCACTGTGACATCACTTCCTCCCACCGGAGATAGCCGCGTGGGAGGAGGAAGGCAGGGAGGAGGGGAGTTCCAGAGGAGAACTCCCATCTGCCTCAGCCTGCCACTGGACCAGGGAAACCACCCTCCAGGAAAAGGTAAGAACCTGGAGGGTGGCTAAATGTATGTCAGTATGCCTGTGTGTGTGTGTGTGTGTGTGTGTGTGTCAGTATGTCTGTGTGTGTGTGTGTCAGTATGTCTGTATGTGTGTATGTGGGTATGTCTGTGTGTGTGTGTGTGTGTGTGTGTGTGTGTGTGTACGTGTGTGTCAGTATGTCTGCCAGGATATATTTGTGTGTCAGTGTATGTGTGTGTCAGTATGTATCTGTGAATGTTTTAATGTATGTCTGTGTGTATGTGCCAGTACGTCTGTCTGTGTGTGTCAGTATGTCTGTGTGTGTCAGTATGTCTGTGTGTATGCCAGTATGTCTGTATGTGTGTATGTAGGTATGTCTCTGTGTGTGTGTGTACATGTGTGTCAGTATGTCTGCCAGGATATATTTGTGTGTCAGTGTATGTGTGTCAGTATGTATCTGTGAATGTTTTAATGTATGTCTGTGTGTATGTGCCAGTACGTCTGTCTGTGTGTATGTCAGTATGTCTGTGTGTGTCAGTATGTCTGTGTGTATGCCAGTATGTCTGTATGTGTGTATGTAGGTATGTCTCTGTGTGTGTGTGTACGTGTGTGTCAGTATGTCTGCCAGGATATATTTGTGTGTCAGTGTATGTGTGTGTCAGTATGTATCTGTGAATGTTTTAATGTATGTCTGTGTGTATGTGCCAGTACGTCTGTCTGTGTGTATGTCAGTATGTCTGTGTGTGTCAGTATGTCTGTGTGTATGCCAGTATGTCTGTATGTAGGTATGTCTCTGTGTGTGTGTGTACGTGTGTGTCAGTATGTCTGCCAGGATATATTTGTGTGTCAGTGTATGTGTGTGTCAGTATGTATCTGTGAATGTTTTAATGTATGTCTGTGTGTATGTGCCAGTACGTCTGTCTGTGTGTATGTCAGTATGTCTGTGTGTGTATGTAAGTATGTCTGTGTGTGTATGTGTGTGTCAGTCAGTATGTTTGTCAGTGTATGTGTCTGTGTGTATGTATGTATGTCTGTGTGTGTGTGTGTGTGTGTGTGTGTGTGTGTCAGTATGTCTGCCAGGATATATTTGTATGTCAGTGTATGTGTGTGTCAGTATATATCTGTGAATGTTTAATGTCTGTCTGTATCAGCCATTACGTCTGTCTGTGTATATGTCAGTATGCCTGTGTGTGTGTGTGTCAATGTGTCTGTCAGTGTATGTGTCTATGTGTTTTAGTATATCTGTCAGTGTATGTGTTTGTGTGTGTGTCAGTATATCTGTTAATGTATGTGTCTGTGTGTGTATGTATGTATGTATGTCTGTGTGTGTGTGTCAGTATGTCTGCCAGTATATACACACAGTACACACAGTATATATTTGTGTGTAGTGACTGTGTGTGTCAGTATGTATCTGTGAATGTTTTAACGTCTTTCTGTGTGTGTATGTGCCAGTACGTCTGTCAGTGTGATTGCGGGTTGGACGTAATTGGGGGGTGAGGCAGTGGCAGGGACAGGGCCCATGGGGCCCAAGAAAATGCATTGCCCAGGGTCCTAATCATATTATAGACGGCCCTGCCCCCAACCGCAATCGCCAGCGTGTGATCACCGGCGACCGGGTAAGTAAAGAAAGACCGGAGGGCGTACATTTAGAGCCGCCTAAAATAGGGCGTAATAGTACGCCCTCCGGTCTTAAGGGGTTAAAATTAACTATTTTATCATAAATTACAACTATTTGTTTTTTCAGCTGCATTGAGATGGTTAATACAGGAATCACCATTTTATTTTATAGTGGCTTGTAGGCTACACTCTCCCCCTCCCCTTCCACTGTGCTTTAGACCTGACCGCAGTGTATAGAACTATTCTAATGTTGTTCAAAGACTCACAACTCTGGGTAGAGGTTCGTCATCGTACTTGTTTAATAATGGCTGCTTGCCCTGGCCTTTCTTTTTCAAATTTATTCTGTTTTATAAATTCAAAAAGTATATGAGAGGACAAAACACATGCTTGGGAGAACAAATTATTGTTCTTAAGTTTTAATTACATTTATCATCACTATTTATGAATTTTTATCTAATATTATTCTACTGTTTGTTGTAGTTAATAATACAAACCAGCATGACCATCCATGTCAATTTGATATATTTGTAACTCTAGGGTTATTTTCCACTTGGGAAAGTGATCTCCAGCAATCCGACCTAGAGCCTGAATAAACATTTACTTTATGTAGTGTCTAAACCTTTATATTGTAAGATTGCAAACAATGTATTTATAATAGTAATTGGGGTGGAACAGCGCTACAGTACTAATCACAGAGGTAGATGGAGCTGCACACCTGAGTGGAAGGGCAACCCTCAAACCCTTCAATAAATCTGGGAGAACAGGAAACAACAAAAATACAGGGTGCGCTAAATGAAATAAATGAGAGATAATATTTACAGAAGAGTCCCTGAAAATACAAGGTGGGCCTTGGGTAGGTCTTTTTTGGTTCTTGATAAGGTCCTCAGTGGTTAATATGAAAAACAAAAGTAAACACAAAGAGAGACCAATAGTGCAAAACCGTTAGGAGATGGTGTCACGGACAACACAGAAATAGAGAAATGCCAACTCACAATCAATAGAGCTATGCCCAGCTCTAGATAAAACAGCATATTTGAAACTCCCCACATGTAGGATATAGCTGGACAATAGGGGATTCTTCAATACTTCTTTCAACGTCTCAAATACGTGTCAGCATATAAAATACATAAGAATAAGGGAAAAAAACCAATGGTGCAATAACGTATGCGGTCACATGACAATGATGTCATTATGGCGCCAACCTTTCAAATTTTAAGCCATTTTTGCTGCCTATAAAATGTAACAAGCC